ACGCCTTAGGAGCGCCACTGCAGAGCATCCTATGTAGCAATACCTTGTGGAGAACGATAGATAATGTTGCATTGTGTTTTACTATTACATTTAGCGGGGAATATGATAATGAATGACGCCCCCAATACATTCTACTACTTCCATCGTAACAGGATGCTCCACCAGAGTCGCGTACGATTCCAAGCACAGCTGGAAGCTAACTCAAGTGAGAGTTCTCGACCTCGGCTAGGGGGAGATGTGAAGGGCATCGCCATGATTTGTGAGACATTTTTTGGCGCCCGAAAGGAACGACGCCTATTCACGAGCTCCGAAGCAACAGGAACTTCTGTTCGAATGTTTCACCTAAGCACGAATCCCTCCTGCAGAATGCGATCAACGTACCTCAGAATCTTTAGGTTCTTCCAGTTGGCATCTTTGCTCGATTTGTCTGCGGTGGTGAACTAGAAGATGTGTGCAACACTTTTCTGCATGAAAATGGTCTCTACCCTTCTCGCATATCCTGCATCGCCACTTCCAACAGAATCCATTTTTGCCTGCCGAGTCACTAGGCACTTTCACCTTGTCAAAATATAGCCTTGCGTTCAGGATGGCCATTATGAAAGAAGAACTCTAAGAGGGACATTCCCGGCGTCGGATGAGCACAATGGTTGTGTCACAATCTATTCTGTAGTCTACTAGTAATACTGTTGTATCGAGTAACCATCAGCGTAGAAAGGATTTTGGGGAGCGAAGAAAAGGAAGATCTGCGCTCAACAAAATACTTCCATCTGGCATACACAAGAAGGTATAAGAAGACTGCTAGTAGCAGTCATTATTATTTTTTCTTTCGAGGATTTAACTCCGAATAATACGAATTCTATTTGAGATAGAATATTACATTTCACCATCGAGAACGGATGGAATTTCACGAAAAAGTAGTATTTTTCCATTCCGAAAATGGAGGGAAAATTTTTGGAAAATTTGCCCGAAAATTTCCAAACGCCCGTGCAAACACTATGCAACTTTGCGACACTTGGCAACCAAGGACGAGGCGGTCTTTCAAGCTCATATCTGTCGCGATTTGTTCCAATGACCCAATGAAAGAGGCACTGAACCCAGAACATTGATAAGTAGTTCATATCCCTTTCTATACTGAAAATATTCCTGTGATAAACAAGATAAAGCCGTCACAACGGTTGACAGCTAAGTTGTCAACGGCATTCAACTCGAGAACAATGATGAAACAACAGATCTAACAACGGAACCTCGACTCACTCAATAGCTCGATAATAAAAAGATGAGCCTAGAAAGCACTCCAAATGATAAGCGCTCCCGTGTAAAGCTTTTCCCTTCGACAAGGGATGAGGAGAAGGTGATATTTATTGACTCAACGATTTTCAGCGTCCGTAACCCCTGAGCGAATTACTCGCTGCGAAGCTGATCACTTGCTTGAGAGCCATTTGAACGGCCTTGAGAGTGTCCACCTCTCCGATGTCAGATAGATTGAACTCATTGGGGATACCAGTTGTCCTAGAATTTATGATGATGTCCGTTATATCCTGGCCTTTGAGACCCAGAGTAGCCAGCAAAGCCGCGACACCGGCAGTAGTGGGGGTCGACATCGATGTACCACTCATATAACCATATGACCCTCTTGGCATGGTCGAATAGATATGAACACCGGGAGCGGCCACCTTTATAAACGTAGCAGCATTCGAAAACTAGCGAGAGAGACGTTTCGTTGGGTCAGAGTACTGGCAGCGATACAGAGCATAGATAGGATTTCTGCGCATAGGAGCACGGATA